TTTCATGTGGGTAATTTGGAGATTTAGTAATGGCAAAGCTCATTCCCTCAACTCAATATCAAAATTGGTTCTGGCATATGAGGTGCAAACTCTCTCACATCTATGGATCAACGCTCGTCATCGGAGAGGGCTGCAATTGAGGTGGTTAAATTGGTGTTGTGACCCAATTCTAGAGTGTTATGTTAGGTTTTGATTTTACTTCTTTCATGTTGTTTTTGTTTGTATCTTTTGTTCTGAACTTTTGTGTTTTCCTCTAGCCTCTGGCTAGTTCTTAATATATGTCTGCCGTTCAAAAAAAAGTATAAAAATATTTATTTTTATGTGCAAACATTATCATAAATTCAACAACATCATCATGAATCGGTTAACATACACACATATTAAAAGTAATTTACGTAACATTATCATGATTGTGGAGATATGTGAAATCCAAAACAAAAGGCACAAATGTTAGAATTCATCATTGGATATCGAGATAACAAAACCCAAAAAAAAAAAATTGAAACGATCTTTAGCTGAAAACAAAATCGTAGAATCTCTATCAAAAATCCGAACTAATCTAATTTGACGGATTACCCATAATCCAATAACTTCCGACCAAAAACTTTGATACTTTGGTAAAGATTATTCGAAATCATATGGAAAAATATGTTTTCCATTTCATTTCATTTTGGATAGATCCACATTTTTTGGATATCTTTCCTGACTTTCTAGAAATTATCAATTATAATAAATGAAGATCTATTTTTTCACATGTAATCTCTAATAAATTTTGACACTTGTCATTTTATGATATTTTTGAAATGAGAAATTAAATTACCTTCTAACTTTTATGCCTACAATTATTCCTACCCATTAAAATTATGACAAATCATCATTCAATTTAATTGTAATTGGTATATTTATAATATAGCCTTAATGAGTTAGTTAAAAAAATATGGAATGATGACACTTATCATAATTTTATTGGGTAGAAACATTTGTAGGCATAAAAAGTAGGAAGCAATTTAATTTCTCTTTTGAAATAAATAATATTCACATTTCAAATTCTTAGGTTTTTCAAAATTTAAAATTAAAAAGGCACATAATATTTATGTTTTTATATATATAAAGTATTAAATGTCATAAATATGATATTAAATTGCAATTAATATATTTTTTTTCTTATTTCAATTTTTTTTTAAAAAATTATTTATTTTTTACACTTTAATATTTAATTTCTTTTTTAATCAACCCATGTAATACACGGGTTTTACACATAGTTCATACTAATAAATAAAAATCCTTTTACCACATGTCATACTTTCACGCATTTTGACACATGTAATTTTATGGTTAATTCTTAAAAATTAATTTATACTTGTCATTTTGTGGTAATTTTTTATTTTTCTTAATTAACTATCTAATTTTTAGGTTATAGAAAGTAATTAATACGTCATTAATTTGTTTCCTAATTCAAAATTGACATGTTTCTTTCAAAGTTCATTGTCATTTTATGCAAAATAGTTTATATAGAAAAAATAATCAAACTTTATTGTTTTTTCTTGACATACTAAAAAAACTTATATGGTCAAAATATAATTATTTTTCTATACTTTAATTTATTGGTATAAATTGAATTATTTATTTATTCATCATTTTGTTTGTATATATTTTGAAATTTTATTTTAAAAAATACTTTATGTTTACACAATTAATATTTAATGTTTTCTTTAAAAAATACTTAATGTTTATATCTTCATGTATAATTTTTTTAATTAACGCGTGTAGTACACGGCTTTCACACATAGTCAGTAATATAACCAGGAAAGGTGCATATTCAACCATTTTTTTAACCTTCGAAAAAACGAACCGATTTTAGAAAAAACGAGTTAGGCATTCGAGCATAAGTTTAAGTGAATTAAGCATGGTTGTCAAAATCGCGATCCTGACCCTAGGATCGTACGATCCTAGATATGAAAAACGATCCGGATCGTAAACGGATCGTATTTGTGGTAGGATCGCAAGTAGGATCGGGATCCGTTCCGATTTTAGCTTCCCTTGATTTTTTTTTTTTTTTTTGTTTTGCAAATAGATTTTTTTTTACCATTTTATGTTTTTTTACTCCTTACCAATTTATCGTTTATCATTGTGTGTTGTGACTTATGACTAATATTTTGACGTTTTTATAACTTTTGAATGAAAAGTTGAATGTTTGAAATAGTTTTCATGTTTTAAAATTATAAATTAAAATTATGTTTTATTTTGTGAGATCTTAGGATCTCGATCCCGATCGTGCAAACTCAAAAACGATCATATGTAGGATCCCGATCTTAACAACCTTGGAATTAGTTACTAGGATTAGTACTTAGACTTAAACTATATGTACTCTTGATGTATTTGGAAATTTTAAGGTATTCGAACTCAGGGGCAGAGCTTTGTTAGGGGCCGGAAGGGGGTTGTAGGTCCCCCTGATTTTTTGGTTAGAAGTAATCCCTATACTTTAATTTTACAAATATTTGGCCCAAAAAATAAAATTTTGGTTATGGTCCCCCGCTCACCAGTATTTAGACATATTATATTTTCAACACCCCCCCTCCCCCTCCCTAAAAAAAAAAAAAAAAAAAAAAAAAAAACAATCATAAGCAATATGATTTTATATGTTTAGGCTTCTGAATGTGTACTTAATATATTAGAACTAGCATGTAAATTCTCATGGTAAGTAAGGCTTATGTATTTTAATAAGGGACTGTATGTAATATAATTTCGAATTAACAATGTTAATTTCTCAAAATAGTTAACACTAGTGGAAACCATAATCCACTTAGAATCAAATGTGGTGAAAACCTCAATGTGGAAAGAAAAGCAACTCCATCTATGCTAAACAAAATTTGATCCATCATTGATAAAGTTATGGGAAGTCAAGAAAAAAAGACCATGAATCAAATTTAAAGAATGTTTTCAACGCAAGAAGAGAATATTAAGGAAGATGTTAAAAGAAAGTTCAACTCAGAATGACTTAGGGGTGAATGAAAGAGAGAATGAAAGAGAGTATGACAACTCATACCATAATGTGGAAAAAGAAGAAGCCATGGGAACCAATTCTTATGAGGAGGAAGAAGTGACTGAAATGGGTTGTACTTGCAAAGATTTCAACATGAAGTTTAGCTGCTTCAAGAAGTTGGGACTTGACATTGATATGCTTATTGAAGGATGCGACACAAGCTAGTAAAATATAGTGTAAAGTTAGAAATTATGAGAATGTAAACTGGTATGTGTATTATCTTCATATATTCATTTTGAATAGAAAGGGTTCAATCCTTAGTGACACCCTGATATTCAAATATTTGGATTGAGTAATACACTAATGTGAAATTCAATCGTCACGACATTTCCTTTATGCATCAGTTTGTTCTTGTTTATGTTTTGCTTTAAGTTTAATCAGTATAACACTTAAATGGAGGACGTTTGTTGATGATTTTATATCATAAATATCATTTAAGTGTAATATGATTAAATTTATTAACCAAAAGTGATATGGTTGAATATTGAACAAGTTAGGATGGTGTAGGAGTGTACATTTGTTCAAGTTTTTCAAGATTCAAAGTACACTGTTATTAGGGGTGAATCCCCTAAACAAACGGGCGTCCGGGGGCAGCGCCCCTGGGAGTGGGATCCCCAGGGGGGTAGCCCCTAGCTGGGATCGAGTTAACCCTTTTTTACCTAAGATACGTTTAATGACATGTTTGGTAGTTTTTTATAACAGTTTGTAACTGTCTAGTGACAGTTTTTAGACATGAATCATATAGTCGTTTTTGGTCAATTTTCTGGTACATCTTGAAGAACATTTTCAGATACATTCTCTGATTTCGTATCCCTGAATTTCATCCAATTGAATATTCGATCTGTACCATCGAAATACTTCAATTTGATAGTGAATCACGACTTTCAGAGAATCCAAGCAATTCACAATCTAGGTATAGTACCTCATTCGACATTCCATATAAAGGTGGGGGACCAGTTGAATATCCTTTTTGGAAGGATTTGTGAATCGGTATTGAAATGTAAGTCTTAATTTTTTGAGATTTTATGGGTTAAAATTGTTAAAAGATTGTACCGTTGCTTATTGAAAATTAAACAAAAATTGGTGGTGTTAATGGTGAAGGTAACCTAGGGGTGGGGAGTCGATTATGAGCAATTCTTGGTGTTAATGTTGGTGTTGGATCTTGTTTGTCTTGGGATTTTAGACAGTTTTAAAGTTTTTTCTATGAGTTTAGCTCGATACTATATCGATCATATCAATTTGTGTAGTAGCTAGGTTGTTTGGCACTAGATGGAACAGTTCTATTCCAAGGAAATCAATATTTTAATATGGAGAATCCTTTGAGTCACATTACCATGAGATATATAGTAGGGTAATTATCGGGAATGTGAAAAATGGCCCATGTGGCCAGCTTATTTTAATGCAGTTGTGAAAGATTTAATGAGGTTGACCATAGGCTTTTGAAAATGTCTCAAATGAGGTTGATCATAGGTTTTTGGAATGTGAGGTCGTGGTCCATATTTTACAACTTTATGTGCAAATGGTATGACATTACCATTATGTTTATGGATCATGTTCGAGAATTGCTAGATTGGATTGATATGTTGCTTCGTTGAATTGTAAAAGAGTCTTTATATGTGAATTTAATGACAACGTAACGGTGGTTGCGGAAGTATAAAAATTATTGGTTTTTGCCTCTGAAAAATTAAGAAATGATGTCATTTTCGACACTATTGTATAGTAATTTCGCTGTTTAATTGGCACATACAATGATTCTACAATAAATGTAAGATCAGGTGGAGTCGGTGGTTTCAAAACCCGATTCTAACTATGTAATTTTTCTTTTTTCTTCTAGATCCTTATTAGATTTAAAATTATTCGTCATTGAAAATATATAATGCATAAAAAAAAAATATTATAGAAACCATAAAAGCAAGAGAAACTAAAATATACCCCGTGTGGTTTCCTTTTTTTTTTTTTTTTTTTTTCCTAATGGAGTTGAAAAGATTTTTAAATGCAAATGTCATCGATCCCTTTAACAAAGTTTGTTGTGGTTTGATATGTTGTAAATTCAAAATGACTATTACACATTTTTAAGACCATTTTTGCAGTTTTTTTCTTAAATCAACGTTAACTGTAAGATGAAGCAAATCAAGGAACGAAAAAATAAATCACATAGGGTTATCGTGTGTACAATGTTATTTATACAATAACTAAACTTTGCAGTGTTTTAAATCCCGTGTTACAATTTTACCCTTTAAATCATCTTAACGTTTCCGATGACCAGATGAAGCCATTAAAACTCCAACAGCCACAATAAACATAGACAACATGCCTATAAGGAATACATACGTTCTCCTCGAAGACTTTCTGTATTCACCAAAAATAAGCACACCCCAAAAGGTACTCACAAGTGGAAGTGCCTGAAATCATTTCACAAATCACAACAACCTCATAAGGTAAACATCTTCATCCAAATGCATTAACTACTTGTACCATAAGGTACAACAAGAACTAACCTGAACTGCATCAGCCGCAGCATAACCCGCAGCTTGTCCTCCCATAAACTGGAGACCATTTCCAAAACCACAAAGAAAACCAGCCAAAAAAGCCCAACCACGCCCTTCCCAATCATTTAAATATGCTTTGATTGAAGATTTAGGCAAGTTGAAAGCCGGGTGATAAAGGAATGTAATGTTTAAAATTATGGCAATCACAAAACAAGAGCAAGAAAAGTAGAAAAAAGCTGTGTAGACACTTAAGTGAGGAACACCATCATCCAATGTGTTCCATTGGTCATTGGTTGCAAGGTTAAATGCTGGTGAGAAGAGAGAAAAACATATTCCAGCAAACAAACATATGGCTAAACCGATGAATGTGCTTTTTCCAAATACCTGAAATCCCCACAAATGCACAAGTTTATCATGACACTTGTAGAAGATCGGTGTTAGATGTTGAGATTTGTTGGGTAGCATAAAAGGAGAAAATTTGTCCCACATAGATGAAAAAGGAAAAAACTGGAGTGGTCTCTATGCCTATAAAATGAGTTCAAGGCTTTGGTTTTCATGTGTCATGATTGAACAGAGTTAATGTTATGTTGAATCTTTTTCTTTGGAGGCCTGTGGTTTTTCTCCGGTTTTGAAGTTTTTTTTTTGTATATGTTTTTGTGTTCTTATTTTATATGGTCGGTTTTACACAAATTAGATGATTAAATTTCAACTTGTTCTATGTGAAACTGGGTGAATGTGGTTTATCAGTTTATGTACAATATAACCTTGATTGCTCTTTGGCTCTCGAGTTCAATAAGAAAACTTGCAGTCCCTGCTTTTGCTTTCTCTCCTTTACCACCTCCATCCTCCAGATCCTTTTCTGATAATAAAAAAAAAAAAAGAAATATTCAACTAATAATCTAACTTAAAAAGGTTAGTGAAAAATCCAAGTAGTCTTACTTGATATCGCGTATGACTCGTTGCTAATTGATCTGTCACGTATCAATTATTAGAATTCCAAATATACAAGTCAATATTTTCATATATGATGACACTAAAAAAAAGGTATACCCTTTTTTGTCAATTTGAGAACCTTTTAATCCATCAAGCTTTGCTTGATTATCTTTGGCATTAGATGCATGCACAACAGAACCAAGACAAACAGCAATCAAGAAACAGGCAACCCCGGGGAAAAGTATCTCAGCTCTGTTGATTTTATCGTCTAAAAAGTAGTTCAAAGTTGTACCTATCACCCATTCACAAACTCAAAATCATGATCCCAAATATTTTTCAAAATAGTCATATGATTATGATGATACCTATAACAACTGTAATACTTGCAGTGATGACCTCAGTTACAGATAAACCAACAAAAGCCCAAGCGTATTGTGTTGAAAGATTTCCAAGGCTTAAAACCACCCCACCTGCCATTGCAAACAGAACGCTTGGCCAATTGTTCTGAAAAAAGCAGATTGTAATTCACAACTCAAGTATGCATATGGACTATGAATGTGCGACTCATTGATGCATTTTGTCGAATGGTTTGTGTGCGTGATTATAATTTATACCTGAGAAAGCTGGACTAGGAAATTGGGTTTGTCATCATTGGTATGGCCAAATTCCCCAAATGTGAAAGCGATTATGACAGCTGACAGAAGATTGGTGATTGTGTAATCAAGATAAGTGTGTTGAGGAAGACGACCACGTCGTTCTAACAGAGTTAGAATTGCAGGCCATGTTCCTAGGAAGAGGAGCGCAAGCAGCATGCATGCTATGGCTCCTCCTCTGCTATCTACTATGTACATCTTCAAATTCGAACTGATTCCCTCTGTTGTAAAAGTAGTCAAGAAAGGAAACTCGGAAAAATCCTAATGTCAAAACTGAATTTATGTTAGAGGGTGTTAGCGTTTTCAAGAATCTTGAAATGAATCTAAAAGAAACTGTGCAAAAGTTGACTTTTTTCAACCGATTAAAATGCAGAGAGATCATCGATCAAACTTAAGAAAGTTAACATGTAAAATGGGTAAAATGGTTATATGAATGCGAAAGACACATATCTTTCAATCTATAAATGAAATTTAAAGAACAGAGTCGAATGCTGACCAAAGAAAAACATGAGTATTAGATGAATGATGAATCTGCAAAGAATATGCAAGAACCTAAGAAACTTTAAGACTCTATTTACAAAAGGAAATGATAGAATTTGCCTAAAATAGATAGTTCTTGCAAACTGTATTGTTTTTTTGACATTTTCCATAAACCATAAGATCAATATGCATTTAAAAAAAAATTATAGTTTAAAAGTTCGATAATTCTTAAAGAAAAGATACTAAGATGATGACACACATGAAAACAAACAGAATTAATCATAAAGAAATGAATCTCCGTAAGCATAAGATAAGACGTAGTTTGCATCTTTGACAAGAAAGAAAGAAAAAAAAAAAGTCAAACCCACCATTGCAGAGGAAAGCAGTTTACAAAAAATCGGGAACTGAGTTTAAAAGAAATTGCTAATCTCCAAAGAATCTGAAGCTACTTAACAATCACGACAACCCTATAAATATATAAAATAAAAAGACATAATACCAACCAATCATAGAACAAATGGTAATTCAATTCTGCAAACAAAAAAACAAAATAAAGTAGCACATATTGCCAGCAAATCTTAATTTCATATAGCAATGAGGTCACTTTCATGAACAGTAATGATTGCGTACCAAGATATTTTGGAGATGAGCAAGAAATGATGCGAGCCTTCAAAGATGCAGCACCATTAATGGAGTTTTATTTATGCTTTTAATTCAGATCCTTAAAGATTCCAACTTGATTCTTGTTGGGAAGGCAAGTTTAAGAAATAAAATAAGAGAAAAATGCATTGAGACTGGGAGAGGTGGAGAGGCGGTGAAGTGCTGTTAGTCTACAAAAAAATGAAAGCGGATATCTGGCTTCTTATTTTTTTAGTTTTCTACCGATCACATATCCCCTCATTTGATTTTGGGCCCAAAATATATATATATATATATATATATATATATATATATATATATATATATATATATATATATATATATATAGTTCAGGTTCATTTGAAACCATTCTAATTCTGTGAGACCGTGAGACCAAATCTAAAAATAATTTTAAAATTCAAAATAAATGGAAAAATCCAAAAATTCTTTTTTTAAATATTATTTTCGAAACTTGAATTAACTAAAAAAAATTAAAAATAAATAAAAAAAATTCCGTATTTTTTTTTGAAAAATACGTGAAATATTCTAAATAGAATATTACACTGACATATTCTAAAAAATAATTTTAAAATGCAGAATAAATGGAAAAATCTAAAAATTCTTTTTTTAAATATTATTTTCGGAACTTGAATTAACTAAAAAAATTAAAAAAAAAGTAAAAAAAATTCTATTTTTTTTTAAAAATACGTGAAATATTCAAAATAGAATATTACACTGTACATATTCTAAAAATAATTTTAAAATGCAAAATAAATGGAAAAATTAAAAAATTCTTTTTTTAAATATTATTTTTGGAACATGAATTAACTAAAAAAAATTTTAAAAATAAAATAAAATAAAAAAAATGCGTCTCACGGTCTCACAAAATATAGGTGGTCTCAAATGAACCTAACCCTATATATATATATATATATATATATATATATATATATATATATATATATATATATATATATATATATATATATATATATATATATAAATCGGTGAGGATAGACTGATTGTAAAATTTTATATTTTTGGACATAACATTGTATAAAATTTTAAAGTCTCGATAGTAACAAACTACAATGCATTTTTTCTTTTACTTTTCCCAAACTCAATAGTCAAATTTCATTACAAAATAATTTTTATTTATTTATAAAATCATAGAACTACCTTTTTTTTAATCATATCTTGCTTTTATTTCTTTATATTTCATAAACCTTCAATACTTCCAAAAAATGAATCCGTTTGATCTATTCCACCTATGCAACGATGATGTCAATGACAATATCTTCATCGCTATGATGAAGCAATATTGTACGAACCTGCGATGTCAAACAAAATCCGCGAAGGACACTGGCGTCTAGTTAAGGATTATTTTGTCACAATTATGTCTACTAGCCAAACGTTTTCAATAGAAGGTTTTGTTTGCCAAAAAAATGTGTTTATATGGATAGTTAACGTTTTGGAAAGCAAGTATTGTTTCTTTCAAGTTTTATACTTTATAAATGTAGCTTTTACATAAATTAAATATATTTTTTACCTATTAAATATACGTTTACGTATGAATTTTTCCAAATAAAATATGATGCTAGAGGTAAGTGAAGATTCACAGGGTTGCAAAAATGTGTCGCGACAATTAAGTTTATGACAATTGGGGAGTCACTTGATTCTATTGACCATTATATGAGAATGTTTGAGAGAATTTCAAGAGAAAGTTTGTATGCATTGGCCAAAGGTGTTACCGAAACCTTCGATGATGTTTATTTGCGCAAACCTCCGTTGAATGATATCCAACAACTATATGCGTTACATGAAGAAAGACATAGTTTTTCGGGTATGATTGGAAGCATTGATTGCACACACACTTGGAACGCTCTTCGTTGGTATTGTTGGATTAGGTGTATAAGCTTATAATTATAATTGGTATAAACTTGAATTAATAGTTGCACAGTCCTTTTGGGTTGCCCTTGAACCTAGCAATTGAACATGATTATTTTTTAGAGAGAGAGGTTGATTTATTATTTTATTAATAAATTTAAATACATAATTTATTAATATATTATGAGAATAACATATTAATTATAAATAGTAATTTTTAATTAATTAGTAATCAGGAATTAATTGGAATTAATTTTGGGATTAGTGAAATTAATTAAAAGTGCAGGGTCTAAAATGCAATTGTTTAATAGTTGAACAAGTTGTTCAAAAAAAAAAAGTTGAACAAAAGGTTCCAGAACCTTCCACCAGGAGGGTGGACGATTTCAAGGGGGGATAATCTAGGGTTTCTAGATTATCCCATATGGATAATAAGGAAGTGGATAATCACCAAATTTGAGTTATTATTAGTTAATTTAAATCAGGGTTGTCTTAGGTTTCCTAGTTGCACTATATAAGGATTCCTAGGCTATGATTTTCGGCCATCACTTCCTTCCTAACGCTTGGTCGAAATTCTGCTCTCCCCTTTCCTCTCTCCATAATCTCCTTCTTGCTAACTTGGGTGTGAACCACTAGAGGCACAACATTTGTGGTGTTTGCTTCTAAAGGTTCTACAAGTCAAGGATAATTGTTATTTACTATAATAACAATGTATATAATCCTAAGCCCTTTCTTGTGTTTTTCGAAAATTACCTAGGGTTTATAGGGTTCTTATTTTGATGTTCTTAGTTATAGGTTCAATAGTGAAAACATAGATCTTGTTTTAGGTTGCATGCACACTTAAGAGTTTTAAGTTTGTTTTTGTTATACCTAAAACCCATCAGTTATATCAGAGCATTTGGTTTGTTTTCAATTGAATTTGCTATAACTGTTGAATTTGATCAAATTAGGGTTTATGGAAATTAAATGCTAAAAGGATTAAAATTTCGAAATTATGGTTAGGGTTTTAAAACCCTAACATTCCTCCCCAAGCAATTTCGAAATTTGATAGGCTGTTAGGGTTTTTTTTAATTTTGGTAATTATCATTTTACTTGCCTAAAACAAGATAATTAAAATTGGAATAAATCTTATACCCTATATTTTCGAAAAATTTAGACGGTAAGGATTAGATTAAATTATTTGATTAATTTAATTAAATATCCTTATTTTATTTAATCTATTTAATTAAATGTTAATTAATAGATAAATATTAAATCAATTGGTTTATTTTTTAATTTAAATTCATTTGTTTATTAATTCCAAAAATTTTAAATGGAATAAACCTAGTATTTTGAAAATGTTTAAAATACACCTTATACTATATGTAAAATTAAAAGTTTAATAATTACTATATGTATATGACAAAGTCAGTCGAACTGCTAGTACGCCTTATTCACAAAGCTAGTCTATAAGGGGGTATAAGGAAACTGCATATAAAATGGTAGTTGAATGAGTGTTCACTCTCACCCACCGTTTCCTTGATTAGTGGAAGGTCGTTAGCCAAACGAGTTTGATAGGACAATTAATTCTCATTAATAAGTATAATGAATTAAAAGTAACTAAACCCTTTTTTATAAAGAACCCAAATCTTAGTTACTTTAGAAAAATATGAATTTGTATGCTAACCCAAGAAATTGCACATTACACTTAATAAGTCGTTAGTGGAGCGTGTGTGGTTAACCAGCACACTAATATGGACTAATAAAGAGTTGTAATAGGTATCTCATAAATTATCATTATTGATGGAGCATGTGTGGTTTACCAGCACATCAATGGAGACGATAATTGACAATGAGGTTACCAAGCACATTTGCGTGGTTATTCACATCTTGTTTGTGATCCTCTGTATCCCAGTCACAAATAGAAGAGAATAATATGATATTAGACATGACATTGAATACTTTCAATGAATCTCAAAAGATCTAGGAATTTCATCAAAACTTAATTTCCTTTTAAAATTTCATTTTTTATTGGTGGGATTGGTAAATTGTCATTTACCTACGTTTATAAATTTACAATTAGATTACAACATCTCTTTTCTAAGTTGTGAATTATATAGTTGGATCCTAGCCTTAATATTTCATTTTTGGGTTGTTATATTAAGGATTATTCTTATCTAACTAAAACTACCTTGTACAAATTTCTACTCCAAATTATGCTTCTGGTTCCTCCTCCTCCAATCAAAACTTCTTATTGTTGAACATCTACTCAAAGGTGACATTTGATGGTACCAATTACAACAAATGGATGTGTAACATCAAAATGGCCCTTAGTTTCGAGGACAAGGAATATGTCCTTGAGAAAGAACTAATTGAGATTTACGAAGAGAAGTCCACTCCGGAAGAATTAGCCACCTACAAGAGGTACTACAATGATGCAACAAAAGTTGCTTGCATCATGGTCACCACGATGACCCCTGAGTTGCAAAGATTCTATGATGATTATTAGCCATATGAGATGAATAAGGACCTTGTGGAGAAGTACCATAAGAGAGCTCGTCAAGAGAAATACAAGGTGGTAAAGTCCCTCATGGCATGCACAATGAAAAAAGGAGAATTTGTCTATGGCCATGTATAGAGAATGCTACATTACGTGGAGCATCTTGTAAGAATTAATGTGCATTCTGATGAGGAGCTGACTATTGACATAGTGTGGAACTCCTTACCAAGTTGTTATGATCAATTCATATTGACTTATCATCTGAACAATAGTGAGACCACCTTGGCTCAATTTCACAACCTCTTGCAGACAGTTGAAGCGGGTATGAAAGGAAAGAGTATTGCCTCCACTCCTGCTAGTGCTCCCGTCCTAGCCATTGGAGATGGAAAGGGTAATAAGAGGAAATCTCCTACCAAGCAAATATGGAAGGGAAAGTCTCATACAGGGTCATCCAATAGTGGCCCTAAAGGAAAGTCTAGTTTTTATCACCCACCCTCTTCTGATCCCAATGAGGCTATCTGTTTTTACTGCAATGACAACAGGAATTGGAAACAAAACTGACCGAAGTATCTGCAAGATATCAAAGATGGCAAGATGAAGCCAAATTTTGCAAGTATATACACTATTTCATCTAATAACTCACAATCTTCTTGTTCTTGGGTCCTTGATACACGATGCAGATTTCACATTTGTTCTTATTTGCTAGGGCTAAGAAGAAGTGAGGAGGTAGAGCACGGTAGAATGAACTTGATCATGGGGAATAGGAGATCTTCACCTGTTACCAAGATTAGATTTTATAGTCTAGTGCTTAATGATGGTGTTGGTTTAGATTTAATAAATTGTAGCTACTCATCATAAATTACATGAAATATTATTTCTTTTCATGCATTGTTCAGACAAGGTTTTAGA